TTATGTAAACTCCGGGTCTATTCTAAGAGTATTTTTTCTAATTTCATATTGATAACAATTTCAGGCATTAAGATAAATCATTCTATTAGTATTCGCATTCTTGGTCGATCTGATGAACTGAAATTTTGTATTATTTCGGTAAGGAGTGCAGGTTTGTAAGTTTTCAGATTTTAAAATGGATAACAGATTAGTATATATCTAGTACAGCTACAAGCCATTCTTGAACTTGGCAAGTTCCGATAGGTTCAGTTTTATAATACCTTATAATTTAACTGATTCGAAGTTAGTAAAAAAACCTAAAATTATAGTTATAGTATCTGAACAAGTAAAATGTCTTTAAAAAAGCCTTAGAAATTAAAGACCTTGGCAACATGAAAATTCAGTTTATTAATTTAAATTAATAACAAAAAAAAATCTGACCATCTGACTAAAATTTCGAATGCCATGTAATGCAAAACGAAAATCAACTTTGTGTGGCCTGATCATCAGGTATTTCCTATCTCATTAGTCCAGTTTATTTCCAAGAAGAATGTTTGCTTTTTTTGTCTTCATCTTGTCTAGATCACCTGAATTACTCTAACACTGATTTGAGTCCATATGGAGAAATAGGAGATGAATATTGAATATCGCGAGATGCATTTACAGTGTATCACAGATTCAAACAATTTAAAAGATATGTATTATATAATCTCAAAAACAATCAAATCACATACTTCAAACAAAATTTCTTTTGTAATCTAAGTGGCCAACATTAGAATCAAGAATCGATTATAAAAACCATAATCGACGATATAATCTTTTAAAGTCGATTAAATATATATTTGATTCATTATGTCTTTTAACTAGGGTTACGACCCAAACCCTTTTAAATTATGACTTTACTGCTTAGTTTGGGAATTGGGATTTCTACTTAAATTGGGTTCATGATCAAAACTCCCATATATTGATCTTATCGATAAATCGGAATTTAAATTGAAATTGTTCCGGAATTGCAATCTGTATCTATGATAATTTAATTTTTAATTAAATAAAAAAAATAGCATAATCTTTATTAACAATTAACTTCCTGACCTCAAATAAAAAATCTGATATACTGCGTATTAAAATTCGAGGTCGAAAAAATTGAGCAAAGAAAAAAAATCAAACAAAGGTAAAAAGAAAAAAATAATGAGAGAGTGAAAAATAAGCGAAAA